AGAATTGAGGGAACTCTAGAGTGGAACTCTAGAGTGAGAGCTAGTATCTTCCCTGCCTAGCCGGTCTTCAGAACTATTTAAACTTTAAATTAGCTAATGTTATTTATAGCATCTCTAGTAAGGGTAAAAAATATTATTGCTCCTATTTTACACAACACAATTTACATACTTTCACAACATAATTCCTATACTTATTACTGACTCATGATAAGGAGAAAAATATTTTAATATTAAGTGCTTTTCTTTTACATAAACTCAAGTTATCTTTAGATGTCAAAATATCATGTCAAAATATCAAAAATACAAAAAAGAATTGAATTTTACCTACTATGAAAATATCTATAGTTTAAATAATTATTTTTTTTAAATAGAAGGTTTGTTGATAAATAATGCATATCACTTATTTTTCATGTGGGTTCGATATTCATGTTTTAATAAAAAAGTCCTATATTACTTGATAACAATACGTATACTTGCGTAGTATCCACATATAGTTTTTTTAAGAAAACCGGTGTCGACACCAAGAGCTAAAGTACCATGGTAGCATTTCGGAAATATACACGAAAGAGGAGTGCGGGAGTTGTCGCCTGCAAGAGCAGCAGCGTAGGTACGTCCTGAGGCCATAAACGAAAACCAGAAATGAGTAGAGGAGAAAAGAAACGAAGAGAAGCGAAGAGAAAAGCCGGGAGGAGAAGAGCTACATGAATCGCCATGGAATCACCTTAGGAAGCAAAAACCCTAGCGGACCGCCAAACGAAAACAGATATATGTATATATATATATGTGTATACATATATACATGTATATATATATAGATGTATAGCACAAAAATTCCTTGCTAACAATTTTCCACAATAAAAAAACTATGAAGCTTAGAAATAATATTATATCTTTTAGTCATTTTGAAGGAAAATCTATTTATGAAGCATGACAACGATTTAAAGAACTCTTAAGAAAGTGTCTACACCATTTTATGAAGCATGGGAACATGATTTGTGACTTACCTTCTGTTTCTCTTTCTTCTGCGCCCGTTATTCCTCTCATCTGATCAATGCTATATTTCTTAGGAATAAACCAAAAGACATTCTGAGATTCAATACCCACTTTCTGTAGGGACTTCTAGGATCATTTTTCTGTAAGTTCTTTGGATCTTCCTCTTCCATCCTCTATGGAAATTGAATGTGAGAACTTCCAGAGCATGCGTTTGTTCTCTTCTACCACTTCATTTACAAGTCAATTTCCTGTGTTATAATAGTCCACGAACAATATGAGACCCGATAATAAAAAAGATTTCGACACAAATACAAATAAAACTCACTAGCTTTGACTTTTCCTCCTCTAGATGTAGCCTCCATTCGTTGCTATGAACAGTTGTCCCTATAAGCAATTACTTATTAATATTCTTGCTTGTCGCTCATCACCTGCCATCACATATCATTTTCCTGTTATATTTCAATCAAATATCATAATGTTTTAATAATTTGATTTTTACCAAATAAACAAAATTATATTTTATGATATTAAAATTTCTTTTGTGATACTCTTAAATTACATACAGAAATATAATCCCCAATACAACAAATTTGATTGGATCTCACACTAAATTTTGGGAAAAATATTAATGCATTAGTTAGAGAAAATTATTATATTTTCTTGAGTGTACATGTACTTTATACCAGCTCAAGTATACTTTTACTAACACATATTTCTTTAGTTGTAAAAATTCTTAAAAATAAAGGAAATTTATGTGCATACCATCCAATTCTTATGTATTTATACATCAAATACCTAAACTTTCATATTAACATTTATAAGTGCTATAAATTTATGCATAAAAATATATTTTATTTCTAAAAAGAAAAAAATATTAATGTTTTGTGGTTTTTTATATACATAGCACCCTAAACATTGTCATTTACATACCTCACACCCAAAACTTATGATTTACAAATAAAACACCCCGTGGAGTCTCTATTGTCTGTTCAGTTGGCATTCCATTCCACTGCACAAAAATCCTTCTCCACCACGGCTTTTTCTTCAGAATTAAGCTTCGTCTTCAACGGCTTCTGCGACACCATCCTTCGCCTTAATGGTGATGGTGGGATTGAGTTCAATGGTTCATTTCGACTCATAAATTTCACAAAAAGAAAAAAAAAACGAGGCCCACTTCGTATAGTGCGCCATTGAAGCGGCGCCTTATATGCTAATTTGGTATGGCTACATCAGAAGGGAGAAAGTGATAAAATTTCTATAGTGGACGCAGAGGCTTATTGTGGAAGGAAAGAGGTTTGGATTCAGATCCTAGCTGGATTTTGGGATCCTGATTTTCTATTTATTCAAGTGCGAAACTTCTTAGCTGTTCAATTTCAATCAAAAATAAGGAAAAAATCAATACAAATGATAAAAATAAGAGGATGTGAACTCCCATGGGTCTAAACTAAGAAAGAAATCAATACAAAATGATAAAAATAATAGAATATGTGCTCCCCTAACATTGCCCCTTTCATCAACCTCATTGTTATCATCCCAAGCCAGTACATTGGCCTCTTCGACATCCCAATAATGGCGATCCTAGCAACCATATCATCGCCGACGAGCTCGACACCATCCGAAATAGGAAGTTTAGTGACATCAATGACAACCACATATGGAATAAGGAATCATCTTCTTTCTCCATCTGCTCGATGAATACTAGAGAAGAATGTGCCTAGCGGAGTAGAGACAGTCTCACTAAGGTATTCTTCGTGGTAATAGGAGGTTTTGTGTGCCTTTTTATAAATCATAAATTTTGAGTGTGAGATAATGTGCATGCCCGTAAATCTCCTGAAGGCTGGGGGCAACCGAATGACACGTGTCAGTTACTGGTTGCATCCACTGGTGAGAGGCAACTACAGTCTATGCTATGCTTGCTTGAGAGAAAAAAAAAGAAAAAAAAGAAAGAGATCTAGAAAAGGAACGGCAATAAAAAGGTTCGATTCTAGACGAAGGGAAGAATTGTTCGGTCTGGCTGCGTCGCCTTTTCTTCTCGGTGTGAACCACCGCCAAGTGGTCGGGAAATTATCTGAGGAACGCCGGTGGTGAAGTTCCGTTCGATTGTCGCCTCGCATCTCGCGACTTGGAGTGTCGGAGTTAGGGTTTGTCGTCAGACGGGTGAAGCGATGATAACCCCCGCTTTCGGGAAATGAGCCTTGGGATCGTTGTTGGATTCGGGGTGCGGTAAGTCAACGGCCACGATTTGGTCTCCTGATGGAGGGAAGTAGCACCTCAGGCGGTCTTTCTCAGGTATAATTTCTACTTCCCACTGTGCTTTACTTGCTGGTCTGGGGCCGTACTTTCACCTTGACGACGTTTTTTTTTTTTTTTCCTTTTCAATGAATTTAGTTATGTTCCGCGCGGTTTTCGTTTGTATGTTAGGTCGCGGGAGAGGCTACGTTTGATTTTTTTGCTTCTGTTTTCTTTTATGGAACGGTTAAGGTTTCCTGAGATGGATATTATTTTGTGGCTCGGGGACAGTTTCGGTGGCTAGTGATAGTTTGAGCGGAGGTCCTCTCGTACTTGCGCTTTGATGATATTTTCGCCATTATGTTTCCAGGCGCTTTTCGCTTTGTTCATGTAAAGTTTCCGACATTGTGATTGCCACCGACAAGCTGAAAGGCTATTTTTGGCTTGACCAAATTGTTTTGTTTTGTAGACAAGTTGGTGGGACCAATTGCTAAGATTTCCATCATCTCTTGCAAGAAAATATTGCAATAGGACTCCAATGCTATTTCGCCACATGTAAGTGGCAGCCCATTAAAAAATAAAAATGAAAAAGGTGTATCTATTGGTGCATGACCCGACCCTAACCAAGTCAGCTCATAGTTTCGAAAACAAAACCATTTGCTCCTCTTTAATCTCCATTTTCTTCTATCACCATTGGGAGGGTTTTACAGAACGATTTTCACCTGCGATTTTGATAGCTAGAGTTTGGTTCATTTGAAATCCCTCGCATTGTCGATCGTCAGACGAGAAGCTTTCGTCGTCCATTTATTTCGTTATGTAAGTCTTGTGATGTTGAGATTTTTCCGAAACAAGTATTTCATAAGGATTTAGAGTTTATGGTGCGGATTCATGTACTTATCTTTGTGTTTTCAAGCATGTTAATATAGAAGAATGAAAAGAAAATAAAGAGCGTAAGAATCGACAAAGAACATCCGAGTAAATTTAGATGTGTGGTTGTACTTGCATTTAAAAGTTTATGTAATCGAGATAAACATTGCTTCATATATGTTTTATTTGCTTTCTTCAATGACAAGTTTTATAGTTAAATTAATCATATGGAATGATGATTTTGTATTGGAAGAGAAAATGTTTCTTCTTACCACCACAATATTGTAGTTGTAGAATTTATCACGAGCGAAACAATATAATACCACCATTTATAATGTTACCACAATAATACACTAATAACATCACAATATAACCACATTTATATTGCAATAACACCATAATACTACACTAATAACACCACCATACAACCAAACTATTATCACAATATGATCACACTAATAACAACATTATACAACTATATTTGTATGACAATAACACAATACCATAACACTAATAACACCAAAACACAATCACATTTGTATTACAATAACACCGTAATATTGCACTAATAACACTACTGCACAACCACATTTGTATGACAATAACACCATGCCATAACACTAATAACACCACACTATAATCACATTTGTATTAAAATAACACCATAATATTATATTAATAACACCACTATACAATCATATTTGTAGACAATAACATCATACCATAACTATTAGCATCACGATACAACCAAATTTTTATCACAATAACACCATAATATTGCACTAATAACACCACTATGCAACCACACTATTAATCCCACATTACAACTACACTAATAACACCACATTAACACTATATTTGTATTAAAATAACGTCATAATACTACATTAATAACATCACTACACAACCACATAATAACATCACTATATAATCATATTTATATGACTAACAATATACCATTATACTAATAACATCACAATACAACCACATTTGTATCACAATAACACCATAATACTACACTAATAACACCACTCTACAACTACACTATTAACCCCACATCATACTATCTAATATCACAATAACACCACATTTGTATCACAATAACACCATAATACTACACTAATAACATCACCCCACTAATAATACCACTATACAATCACAATTGTATGACAATAACACAATACCATTACACTAATAACACTATAATACAATTATATTTGTGTCACAATAACATCATAATACTGCACTAATAACATCAATATGCAATCATATTTGTACGACAATAACATCACATCATAACATTAATAACATCACAATAAAACCACATTTGTATCACAATAACCTCTCAATACTGTATTTATAACACCACCATACAACCACACTATTAACCCCATAATATGTCTTGTAGCATGCTAAGTTTATCTTATATTTTAGCCCTTATTTTTTTGATGAAATTACACTTTAAAGGAAAATATTTTCATGTTTTTGTTGCAGGTATAATAGATAGGAGATTTAGAGCAAATTAGAGCGAAAAAAGAGCGAAAAGGTGACAAATGGAACAATGGAGCAACAATAGGTTGACGCCTAGGCGCCAACTACTGACGCCTTGGCGCCAACTACTGACGCCTTGTCGCTACTCCATGGCGCCTTGAGAGTGCAGACTGGCGCCTAGGCACCAAATGGTATCCAACGAACAGAGAAGATGGTGCCATGACACCACAGATTGGCACCTAGGCGCCGGTTATTTTCCTTGCCTACCCGAGAAGGTGGCACATTGGCGCCACAGTCTGGCGCCAGAACTGACTTATGCGGTTTGTGTAGCAGTTATGGACGAATTTGGAGGCTAGGAGCGGGGGGAAACAGTTCTAACAGAGAGGAGAATTATTTGTGAAGCGAAGAAAAGAGTAAGTGTGTAGGAAAGTAGAGTTTAACGTGAGATTTTGTATTTTTTTTGTATTTTCTTAGAGAGAATTGAGAGAATATTGTAAAGGATTGCTATAAGCAGTGCAAGGAGCACTTGGAGATCATTTGAGAACGAGTTTTCACTTCTTTTCATAAGGAGAATGATAAGTGTTTCATTTCGTCATTGTGTATGAATTTTCTTTATTATAAGATAATTGATTGTTGTGTTTTCTTCATACATTGTGAGTAGATTCTTTTTACCTTTCTCTTGTGATGAAGCAGTAGTAAGTGTAGGTTAACAACTAATAAAAATCACATTGCGCTATTGGGTGAAGAAAAAGTAGTCTATAGGGCAGTGCAAATGGATAAGGTGATGTGTTTTGATGGGGGTAACTTGGAAGTTTCTATAGTGACAGACAAAAACGCTTACCTAGTTAAACCAAACTTCTTTTTACACTCGAAAGAGGGTAAAAAAGAGGAATACTCCTATTTGTCACTAGTTACAACTTATATTTTAAGTATTCCATTCCTACACAAATTGTTTACTTAATTGTAAGGGGAGGTATTTTTCATAACTTGATTTTTTTCAACTTATTTAACTTTAGTAAAATTAACTTTAGAGTATATCATTAGGTTTAGTGATAATTTGATAGAATTTCATAAGTACACTTTACATCAGCTTTACTTCTAGGTTAAGATTTATTATTGTAGGTTAGAACTTTTCTTAAGTCTTTAGAATAACAACATTGCCTGTGACATCGATATTTCAGAATCAGAAAGCCAATATTATTTGAATGATAGGTGCACTTGCGTAAAATATCTAGTGTGTAGTGCTAAATTGTGGAAAAAATTAAATTATAAAATTTATAAAACATATTTTATATTTCAAATATTTTATCCAAAAACACTAGGCATCTAATACCTCAGTCAAGTTCTTGACTCCGTTGCCGGGGAAGTGCGACGATTAATTTGACTTAGAAAAATTTTAGTTAAATTAATTGGACTTATATTTGAAAAATCGTATTTTAGTTTTCTTCATGTAAGAGTTTGCTTGTGTGTTTAAATAATACACATTTAAAAATTAAAAAATTATTATATTTGAGTGTTTGTTTTGTGTGTTTTTCTGTATTTTACTTATTAAACTATTAGTTGTGTATTCGTAGTTGTCGGCCGTTTTAATCTTGGTTTTGAAAAATATAGGAGAAATATGAAAATAGTTTTGATATGAATATGATTTTTGAAAGTAACATTTTGATTTAAAAATAGGTGAGACCAAACGAGTCTCACATTTTGAATAGTTTGGGTGAGTAAACACGATACTACATGTAATACAATTATCCCGAAGAATAAACATATCACCTGTAGTAGACTCAATCACCTAAACTAAAGAATTTGTGACATCCGTTTGGTTTGCGAAATATTTTATATGAGGTCTACAAGTTCTCCTATCTAATACGAGGATTAGATAGAGTTTATTTTATCTGGGTTCCAAATTTCCTATAGAGTCAAACTCTTATAGTTAATTACATCTTAAATGACTGGAGTCATTTAAGAAAACTCTCGATTAAGATCAGTGGTTTTGCAGTCAAGATTTTAAAGTTTAAGATTTCCAAGGTAGGACATGAGAAAATCAAACGCGAGTGGCTCAAATAGGAACAGTTATTTAAGGAATCTAAAGGGAAGAAAAATATGAGAAATCACAAATCTGGGGAAAACCCTGGTGATCTCCCAAACTATCCTATCGTTAGGCTTTACATCTTTGAAATGAGGTTATTTAATGTTTAATCCTGCAATTAATTTAGAATTTATGACTTATATTTGTACGATATCTGATCGTGCAAATAACCTAAAAAAATAGAAGGATTTACACCGTACCGTATAGTAACCTCAGAATTCTAAGTGTTAGGACTTATAATTGCACAACAGAGTTGCGCAAAAGCCTAAGGGTGATATGTGAGAGTTTACGTTGCACTAGACAAACCACCTCGAAGCCCTATGGTTGTTATTTAAATTAAGGAAAGTGTTTATGTGATGTGTTTTGATGTTGTAGATCCTTCTTGATGTTGCTCCTCGTCTTGTTGCCCACGCTATTCGCTCCAAGCTTTTCGTAGTAGCACATCCAGGTTTAATGTTAATCCTATAAAACCATTAGGTTTTCCTAAATTAAGACATAGTTTGTATCAAAGTAACTAAGCATGCAGTATAAAAGAAAAGAATAGTATAGTGCACAGTAGAAAGAAAAAACGGTATAACATGCTGAAAGAATAGTATAACGTGCTAGAAAGAGTAGT